GGGGGGTTGTGTCTTCATTGTTACACGTGCTTGCCTTACCGCTGCCCGCTTGCCACAGTGGCATTACAGTATACCCTTCCCTGAGCCCGTTTCACCGCCTGTCTCCTTGCATTAGGGCGCGTCTGCGATTAAACGCACGGAGGGCGAACTGCGACTGCGGACGCGAAGCGCATCGCCATCCTCCTGCGTCATAGCGCCCCCTCCGCGGCTGCTGGACGACCACCCCCTCGCTCCCAGCAAGCAGGGCCGCTGGCCCATGCCGCTGGGGCGCTTCGGTTTCTGAATCGGGGGGGGGGGGGGGGCCAGCCAGGAAGGCCGCGTTTGACGCTCCCCCCCCCCCAAACCGCGAAAGAGGACCTCTGAGGCAGGAGGCCCCCCCAGAAAGGGCGCAGAGAAGGGCTGTTGCCCAGGCCAGGGAGGGGGAGGAAGAGGAGGGGGGACCCGGGGGCTGCTGGCCCGCAGAGCAGGCGATGTCTTAAGGGCCCCTTGAGCCCTGGCCGGCGGCTGCGGCGACGCATCCCCGCCCTCTCGCTCTGGGGGAAGCGCTGCTGGAGCCAACCCAGACCGGACCCTCCAGCCCAGCCTCTGCTTTGCAGAGCAACCCTTGTGCGTATGCTGCAGAGACCGCTCCCTTTCCTTCACAGCTTTAATGGGAAAATAACCATGGGACAGCAAGGACCCCTCCTCCCGTGGCTGGTGGCCCTGATGTCCCGCGGATAGACATGGGCTGCAGATCTTGCCATGAGGCTGCCACAGCCTCCCCCGTGGCTCAAGCGAGCACAAAGCTGCCAAGGAGCGCCTAGGCCTCCAACGAGGAGGAGACCCAGCAGCACCCAGGGTCCCTTGGACAGCTGTAGCAGGGTGCCTGGCCCGGGGGAGATGGCACCAAGTCTTGGCGTGGGCCACAGCGGGCAGCCTTGGGCTGTGCCGTTATCTGCGATAAACGGCAAAGGCGACGAAGCTGAAGACAAGGGTGAGGCCTGCCAGGCAGGTGGTGGCGGTGGCTGTGAAAACGTGGCGGTGCTGCAGCTGGAAGTACCAGAGCGCACCCAGCATCAGCACCAAGAGCGGCATCATCAGGCTGCCCACATTCAGGGCCGCGTGCGCAGCGTCAACGTTGGTCGGAGGGCCGGCGGACCCCGGCGGCGGCCCGTGCTGGGAGATGTGGCAGTGCACCACGCTGTTGTTGGTGAGGTGCAGGGCAGCCAGCGTCTGCGCATCGTCCCGCAGGAGCTGCCCCTGGTAGATGAGGCGGACCAGCTGCTCCTGGCCTGGGAAGTGAACCCTGCAGGGCGAGGAGGAGAGAGGCCGTGCGTGGCCCAACCGAGCCCTCCGCTGCA